AATCATCTCTCAAACACCCCGTCTCCTGATACAATACCATCACCTTGGTGGTTAGGGCTTCAATATACAGATTTGAGAGAGCACAGACATTCGATTTCTAGCGCTCCCGAGCACCATGCTCAGAGTGATGACGGTGATGAAGGGGAGACCCTCTCTGGAAATATTTCTGCATCAAGATCAGCCGGCATCAGTACTGGCTTGGATGGAGGAGTGGGAAGAGAGAACAGGGGGTTAATGGGAGCAAGATCTGTAGCAAGAACTGTGGGCGCACCTGGGCCATGTTCCCTGGGAAGCAAGGCATGTAGGGTGCAAAATTTAAGGAAGAACTGATTCTCCTGTCAGTGCAAACCAGGGCGCCTCAGGGAAAAGGGCTTGCAGGGAAAGTTTAAGAATGTTCCCCTCGTTTAACGGTTTTATTTAAGTGTAATTTACATACCATAAAATCCACTTGCGTAAGTGTGAAGTTCAAGGGCTTTTAGTAAGTTTACAGGGTTGTGCAAACATCAGCCCACTCTAGTTTTAGGGCATTTCTATCAGCCCACACTATAGGGCCCCTCTCGCCCATTTGCAGTCCATCCTTACTCCAACCTGAAATGATGAAATTGCCTAACATTAGTGATGGTCTTGATTCTTTCACTTCGCCACTTTTTAAAAAAAGTCCTCATTTTAGGATATATTTTATTGATTTGAGAGAGAGAGGTAGGAAGGGAGGAGAAAGAGAGAGAGAGACATCGAAACTTTGCCTCCTCTACGCATCCCAACCTGTGATTGAACCCATGAGTTAAGCATGTGCCCTGACCAGGGATCAAACCCACAACCTTTTGATGCATGGGACAACACTCCAACCAACTGAGCCACTCATCCAGGGCTGGTCAAATATTTTTGAGGCTTCTCCATGTGGTAGCATGTGTCAGTAGTTCGTTTCTTTGTATTGCTGAATGGCGTTCCATTATGTGGATGGACCAGAGTTTATCCATTCACCCAGTTGATGGGCATTTGGATCATTTCCTTCATTATGAAAAATGCTGCTATGAATGTTCAAAAATTTCCATGGACATGTTTTTATTTCCTTTGGGTAGATGAAATTGGTGGAGTTGTTGGGTCTTATGGTAAGTTTCTGTTTAACTTTTTTTTTAAAAAAAGATTTTACTCATTTATTTTTAGAGAGAGGGAAAGGGTGGAAAAGGAGAGGGAGAGAAACATCAATGTTTCGTTGCCTCTTACATGGGGACCCGGCCCGCAACCCAGGCATGTGTCCTGACTGGGAATCAAACCTGCAATCCTTTGGTTCACAAGCTGGCACTCAATCCACTGAGTCACACCAGCCAGAGCTCTGAGGAACAATGCTCCAACCAGCTGAGCCACACCAGCCAGGGTGATACTGCCTTTTTGACTGAGGTTGTTCTGGCGGATGCCACATGCTATTAGTTCTGTGAAATACATAAGTGGAGATGACCAAGAAGCAGATGGGCGTAGGGATCTGAGTTCCAGGGGGAGATCCGGGCTGCAGATACACTTTTGGGAGCCCTCAGCTGTAGGTTCATTTAGTCAGTCAATCAATACTTTCTTGGGCACCTACTATGTGCCAAACACTGTCCTAAGTGTTGGGGTTGCAGCTGTGAAGAATACAGACATGTAGGTGCCCTTGTGAAGCTGCAAGTCTAGTGGAGAAGACAGACCATAAGCAAGTAAAATTATGTCACATGCTGTTTAAAAAAAATAGAGCAGTGAGAGAGACAGAGAGTGGTGGGGCTGCTGTTTACAGATGCGATGGCCAGGGAAAGTCTGTAATGACCATATTACTCAGAGTCCAGTCAGGGAAACAAACTATCCCAGGGTTTCAAAGAGAGAGAATTTAACACAGAAAACTGGTTGAGCGTGAGATGGAAGAGGTAAGAAGCCAAACTGATGGAATGATCAGGGAATCCAGCAATAAGCCATAGTACAAAGCTGTTAGAGGGACATGAAAAAGCGTGGTGTAGGGAGAAAGGGGCTTTTGCGTGGACGCTGGCACCATGGAAGGGGTATAACCATGATGCCAGAACACACCCCCACCCCAAGCAGAAAGACAGGAGAGAAATACCCCAGCTTCTTCCTTCCCACTCTCCAATCTCCCTCCAGTGCCTCCCGTTGGATGAGTCTAACAGGAAGCCAATGTGCAAGGGAACCTGGGAAGTGTAGTTTTCTGGAGAATGGCAGAGCATGTCTCTTACCCATACATGAGAAAAGAGATACTAATGAAGTAAATTGAACAAACCATATGTGTATCTGTGGTAATAATGTTCTGGGTAAAGGACAGCAAGTTCAAAGGTCCTGAGGCCAGATGGAACCCAAACCCTGAGGTGGGTGTGATGGTCTAGGCTAAGAGTACAGAGAGAGAGGGGCTGGGGATCTACAGCAAAAGCCTGGGCGATACAACTGTTTAGGGAGAAGGCAGGAGACCATGACGGTGCCGCTAGAGAAGTAGGGGCAGAATTAGAAAATATTAAGGCGTTTGAAATCAAGGGACAAATGACTTTCAAGAAGGAGGGAATGATCCATGAAGTCTAACCTGTGGGAGTGACTAAATGAAGGCTAGTGTGAGGCTGTGGACTAGCAAATTGGAAGGTCATTGGCCCCTATGGTGAGAGGAGTTTTGGGAAGATGGAGGAGGTGGGAGGTGAAGCAGTAGAGGCAGCAAGGGCAGATGTGAGTATAAACCTCCTTGGAGAAGCTTGGCTGCAAGGAGCTGGGGCAGTTTCCTAAGCACCAATGGTGAACCAGTGAGAGTATCGCTGAGTTCAAGCTCTCTAAGCCAGGAGACCTGGAACTCAGTGGTTTTGGTGTCTAAAATCAGGCACATCTGGCTTCAAATCCTGGGTCCACACTTATCTGCTGGGTCACTTTGAGCTGGTCCCCTCTCCTCTCTGAGCTCAGTTTCCTGCCCTGTACATGGAGAAGTCGCTGTACTTTTCCTGGGAGGTTGCAGTAACTGCTCAGCAAGCACATCTGCATAGTGTTCAGGACTCATAAATGCAAGCTGTAGTACAAATAGGAAGGGACCCGTCTCATTTTTTTAAAGCTCACTATCAGTTGCAAATAATAATAAGGATGCAGCTACTATTTATAAGACACTCCCCATCTCCCACACACCCTGCAAAATGCTTTACAAGCACTGTCTCCCCCCACTCTCCCCAGCTCACTCTGCTCCAGCCATTGTGGCCTCCTCCCTGTTCCTTGAACACTTAGCGCTCCTGACAGGGGTCTTTGCACTTGCTGTTCCCATTGCCTGGAGCTCTTCCCTCACATATCCACCTGGCTCCCTCCCTCACCTTCTGCAGGTCTCTGCTCAGATACCACTCTCCCCAGCCACCTTTTTTAAAGTTTACTCCCTTGTTTATTCCTCTGCCCTGCTGGAATCGCTGTATTTTATTTTACGTTTATTTTCCTATTTCTTGTCTGATTCACCCCACAGAATGCTCAGCCCCACAAAGGCAGGCATTTTGTTTGTTGTTCACCGTGCCTGGGACATAGATGCTCAATATTCCTTTCACTTGATTCTCAGGACACTGGAGTACTTTACACATATTATTAGGTGCATGGTTCTCACAACAATCCACTTGGCAGATGAGGAAACTGAGGCAGAGAGAAGTCATTGCGGGAGGTCACACAGGGGCAGAACCCACCTCTCGGTGTTGCTAAGCTCAGAAAAAAGGACAGTTCAAGACCCCACACCCCCATGTTAAGGGCTGCTCCTCAGGCGAGCCCTGCAAAAGCCTGAGTCATCGCCGCCTCCAGACGGCGGCGGCGGCGGCGGCGGCGGCGCAAGGCGATGCGGGAACGCCAGGAGGGGGCGTGAGTGCAGGGAAAACAGAGGAAATTAAACCCGCCGGGCGCTCCTCCCGGCAGCCTCGCCGCCCTCGCCGCCCCCGCCATCCCCGCCACCTCGGCCCCGGCTGGTGCGTGGGTGGGAGGTGCAGGGGCTCTGCGCCCTCTGCTCCCCGAGGGGGTGGGACCTGGAGCTCTGGGGCATAGAGGAAGGTCGCAAGTGTCAGTTACCCGCCCCCACCCCAAGTTCAAGTTGTGAGTGGAGAGCCGCCTGGGACTTGTCTGCAAAAGGCTAGCTCCTGTCTCCGCCGCACTGGGTCATCATGTCGCCCCTGGGTGCACTGGGGAATCCTCCTGCTGACCTAGTGACCCCCATTACCGCGTCTTTACCCAAATCGCCGCGTCTACTGGCTTCGGACCCGCCACTCTGGGCTTCCCTCGTTCCGAAACGACCCAGCGGTCCCCAAAGTGGTTCTGGTCCCAGGAAAGCCCCTTCCCCAAGGAAAAGGAGACTCGGCTGCTGGATTCACAGGAGCGCCCCAGAGTGTCGCCCCCCATAGACCCCCATACCTGTCCTCCGGGTGTTAGAGAGCCGGGGTCAGTGTCCCAACAGGAGATGGGTGGGGATTTGTGACTCTGTTCCTCTGCGAGCTTTGGGTGGTGGAGGTGGGCCGAGCGCCTAGGGTTCTGCCGCTGAAGGTAGCCTGGGAGCACTGCTGGCCGGGGTGGGGGGAGACCCCTCTGGGAGAGGGGCGGGAACACCGCTGGGGGCGGGGCTGGGGATATAGCGTCGGTGGGGCTGGGGCCCGTGGGGATGGTGGAGTGATACCTCTCGGAATGGGTCGGTCTGGGGCAGGGGGGCAGCTTGGCCTGGGGAGGGGGGTGGGGCAGTCTGGGCGCCCCCTCGGCCCCCCCTTTCGGGCTCGGGGCCTGAGTCGTGACGTCACAGCGGCTGGAAGTGCCCGGCGCGGAGGCGCGGGAGGGGGCGGGAGTCGAGCCGGCGCTTTATAAGCGGAGCCCGCCCGGCGCGCGGAGCCGCAGCCCGCGTCCCCGAGCCCCCCGGCCGGCCGGCCCTGGACCCCAGCTCGCGCTCGCGCCCCCGGGGCGGCTGGGCGGCCAGGGACGGAGCGGCAGGCGGCGGGCGGGAGAAGGGACGCGCGGCAGGCGGCCGCGGGGCATGAGGCGGGGGCGCGATGTCGGTGCCGCTGCTCAAGATCGGGGCCGTGCTGAGCACCATGGCCATGGTCACCAACTGGATGTCGCAGACGCTGCCCTCGCTCGTGGGGCTCAACGGCACAGTGTCCCGTGCCGGCGCCTCCGAGAAAATCGTGAGTGGCCGCCGCGCGGGGGGCGCTCCCGGGGGGCGTGGTGCCCGTGCAGCCGTCGCCGCCGCAGCCCCCGGGGACCCCCGTCCCCCAGTTTCCCTGCCCGGGAACGCTCTTCCGGGGCTGGGGGCTAAGCGCACTAGCGGAGGGGCCTCGGGACCCTCAGCTACCTCCGCGCCGTTCATTATTGTTATTGTTATTATTATTTCTTCTTATTAGTGAACAGTGTCCGAGTGGCAGTAGTGCACCAGGCTCGCTCCGGCCGGGGGTGGAGGGGCGCGGGGCCGGGTGAGCGGGGCAGAGCCGGAGGTGAGATCCCGCCCCTGTGTGAGGGACCCTGCCTCTGAATGGGGCAGCCTCGGGATCTCCGAGTGCCTCCACCTTCAGGAGCTCTTCCTGTTAGTGTCGGTGTCGCTGAGGAGTCCTGTGTCTGTCTGTCTCTCGGCCTGTTTTCCCTCTGGTGCGCTGCTCTATTTCTGTCTCCCCGTCTCCGTCTCTCTCTGTTGCGCTGTCTCTGACTTTGTATCTCTTCTTTGCCTGCCTCTCTTTTTCTCTCTCCTATCCCCCCACCCCCGGAATCTCTCTCTTCATCACCGGCCTCACAACGTGCTGAATCTGAATATTGATTCCCTTAACTTGCCCCCCGTAGGATGCGGAAGGGTTCCAGTGTGGGGCAGGGGCCTGCGCTGCCCCCAGAAGCTCCAGTATTGCCCCCTCCCCCATGCTGTCCTATCCTCTATCACCTTCATCCTCAGGCTTTCCTGCCACGGAGCTTGAGGGGAGGGAAGGGAACCCAATCGGGGTAACTAATGGTGGTCCCGGTGTCCTGGGGAGAGGGGCGGAGGCGTCCTCCACTGCAAACTTCCCTCAGTCTCCGCCAGATATGCCCCTCCCACCCCTTCCCCTCTTCAATCTGTTTGCGCCAGTCCTCCCCATAGGTGGAGCTGGGATGCGTGGGCTCCCTCTCCTGCTTGATTTCCCCCAACTTCGCCAGCAACCCTGTTTAGCCTCAAAGGCTACCACGCTGCTTCTTTCTCTCCTGCCATGAGAGGAAAGGGGTCTTTGCTCCCGAGAGTGTCAGGCAAGTGGAGAGGGGGGTGCCGTGCACTGTGCCCAGGCTTTGCCCAGCCCCTGGGGGGAAGTTGCACGGGGTTTGGCACAAGTGAGGGATTTCAGTCCAAACTCTCAAGACTTGAAGCCAACGAGTGAATCAGTGCTTTTCTGTGTGCCTCAGAGTCTGTCCTGATGTGTCTGTCTATGCGTGAGTTTTGGTGTGTCTGTGGGGGTGTGTGTGAATGGGGCGTGTGAGAAAGTTTATGTTCTTTCCAGCACAGAGGCCTAAGTGTATCTTCGTGTGTGTAGGGTGAATCCCAGGATGAGTGTGACTGTGTCCCAGAGTGAGCGTGTCTGGATGAAAATGCATCTAAATGTGTATCTGCAGCCGTATGCCCCTGAGGGTGGATGGATTTGTACGTGTTAACATGATTGCATGTGCACATATGAGTTTGTATACATGAGTCTGAGATGGCCTTCTTGCTGTTACCTTTGGAGGGGCAAGAAAGATGTTTCATGAAATTAGAAGCCATATTCCCCTCCCCTACCATGTAAGGAATGCGATTTTGTGTAAATGTGTGCATGTGTTATGTGCAGCATATGGTGTGTAAATGAGAACATATGCTCTGTCAGGAGAATGTGTACGTAAGTGTGTGACAGTGTGTCTCTGAGTTATGATTTTGTGTGTACATATGTGTCTGCAAATATGTACAAATGCATGTGTGTTGTGTGTGCCTATAAGTGTGGAGTTGTACATCTTTAGAAGAATGCATACACGCGCGAGTGTGTATCTATTAATAATGTATGTCTACCTTATATGCATGTGGTGGGTTCCTGGTTGTACCATGTATTTTCTGTAAGTATGAGTGTGGACCCAAACAGACCTGCTCTCCACTCAGGCCACCCATATTTAATAGTGCCTTGATGAATGCTTCCAAGAAATTGCCTGCTGCCAGCTAGTAGTTCTCAGATCTCTAGTAGTCCCCGCCCCATCCCCGAGTCTCACTAAGCCTTGCCAGAGGGCCCTTGGCGTGAGGGACTCAGTTTGGGATGGGGGGGTGGGATGTGACACGAGGGTGCTCGAGAAGAGTCTTGGGAATGTCTGGTAGACCTCGGTGGAATCCAGACATGCCCCCAACTTGCTCTGTGATTTGCTCTTGACTCTGGGCCACTGATGTCACCACTTTGAGCTGCAGTTTCTTCATGTATAAAATGGCTATGATGATTCCTATCTCGTAGAACTGTCGTGGGTAACAGATCTACTGCCCAGCTCCTCATCCATCCATCCTTCCTTCCACCCATTCATCCATCTCTTTATCTTTGCATCCATCTCTCTATCTATCCATCTCTCCATCCATCCACCCACCCACCCATTCATTTATCTCTTTTATCCTTCCATTCATCTCTCCATCTACCTCCATCCATCTTTCCATTGATTATCCATCATTTGTCTCTCCATCTATCCTTCTGTGCATCCATCCTTCCATCCATCTATCTCTATCCGTGCATCCACCTATCCCTCCATTCAATCGTTATCCATCATATGGCCATTTCTTCATCTATCCTCTATTTATTCACCCTTCCATCCGCCCATCTCTCTATCCATCCTCCCATCCATCTTGTTTAGTCAACAGGCTTATTGAGTGCCTCCTTTATGTCAAGCATGTGTATGCTTGAAAGCCCCAGCTCAGTGCCTGCCATAGAAGATTCTTAGTCAGTACTGGGACTCGTGAGTCCAAACATCTGGGCTTGAATTCTGGCCCTGAAATTTACTAGCAGTATGTCCTTAAGGGAAGTTATTTCATCGCTTTAAGCTCCAATACCCTCATTAGTCAAGGAGAGTTCGGAGTCCCCGGGAGACCATACCTGAGGATGGGTTATGTTTTGCTTACTACTGAACTCTAAGGCTTGATGCATAGTAGGCCTGCAATAAATACTGGCCAAGTAGCTGAACCAACAATCATATATTCATAAGGATTCATGGATTCCACCTTCAAATGGTAACAAATGGTTGGATAGATATCGGTCGGCGATTTTCAGCCTTTTTCATCTTATGACACACACAAACTATTAAAATTCTGCGGCATACCAAAAATATACACTTTTTGCTGATCTGACAAAAAAAAAAGGCTATGTTTTTATTCATTCACACCAGATGGCTATTGTTGTGTTGGCTGTTGTCATGCTATTTCACAGTCGAAGGGAAGAGAGATCAGTGCCCCTGACTAAATAGTCAGGTATTGCATGTTTTAAACATTCTCGTGGCGCACCGTTTGAAAATCCCTGATATAAGTGCTCAGTAAGGAGGAATTACTTTGTTTCCATTGTAGCCAAGCACATGGTACGCCTGGAATAAATATCTGTCAAGTGTCTAAATCAATGATCCACCTTTCTGAAGACTGGGAGGGAAAGTGGGGATGGCTAGGCACACAGGAGATGCTCAGTCGGGAGGAGTGGTAAGAAGGGGAAGGGCACGGCATGGGTTAGCTGACGGACTCAGGGACCCAGGCAGTGAGAACTCCCAGTCCTAAAGCAGACGGTTGGATGCAGGTATTTGGCTTAATAAAGAAACCTCAGTTGTGAGGTGTGGGGGCTGGTGAGCTCAGACCCTGTGGCCGTTCGTGTCTGGCTGTCCCTCCCTGATCTGATGCCGAGGAGCAGCTTAGCTTTCTAAGAGATGGTGTTACAGAACATCTCTGGAGAGGAACGGGGAGGAAGCTGCCATTGCCACCGTCTTTGGCCAACTCCCAGCCATAAACCACCCTTGCGGGATGGGAGCCTTCGGCGCAATGGCTCCTCACCTGGGGGTCATCAATCCAGAACCAGCCTAAGAGTTGTCAGCCTCGTTGCCAGTGGCTGGCGTCAGTGTGGGGCCTGAAGTGAGTTACCTGCATCTTAGATGTTATGTCCTTGCCCATTTCCCTTACCCTTAAGGGCTGGAGGGAAGAAAGAGGAGATAGAGGAGGGTGTTCTGTCTGGGAAAGACCCTCTTCCTCATGAGTGGGATGGGGAGGGGCCGAGCAGCTATCACAAAAATGTTCTTTGAGGACTTTCCTGTGAAGAACCAAAGTGCAGGATCCATGCCTTTTCTCGACAGTCTTGAGGGGAAAGGCCTCCAAGAGTCGGCGCGAGTATCCGAGTATCCGTCCAGAGGGGCCGAGTTACACTGCGGTAACAAGCAGCCGCACGCCTCAGTGATTGATTACTCTCTCGCACTGGGCCCCCACTGCTGGCTGAAGGGCTCTGTCCATGGTGGTCACTCAGGGGCCCAAGGGGATGGGGGTTCTGCGGTGACATAACCACTGAGACAAGAAGAGGAAGACACAGCAAATGCGCACCAGCTCCTAAAGCCTTGCCCCTGGGGTGACACGTTACATGTGCTCACGTTTCATTGGTCAGTGCAAGTCACATGGCATGCCTACGCTCAAAGAGGGTAAGAAGTGTGGTCCTACCACGACCTGGATGGAGAGGAAGGGCCAAGTGTTTGTGAACAACCCTTAATGCCTCCCTGCTCTACCGATTCCCTCCTTCTCTTAACCTAAGTGACAAGATTTCTCTTAGACGGTGTCTCCATTCAACAAACATGTATTGAGTACCTACCAAGTGTCAGGTGCTCTTCTAGGTTTCAAAGATACAACAGTGAACAAAATAGACATCATCGTCCTCGTGGAACTGACATTCTAGGGCAGGGATGGGAGAAATAAATAAGTACATAGAAAAATCTACACTATTTCTGGTGATGATATATGTGCTATGAAGAAGCATAGAGCAGTATAAAGGGAGTGGAGAGTGATGAGGGGGACTTTTAGGTTGAGTGGCCTCTCTGAGGAGGTGACGTTCGAGCAGAGATCTGAAGGAAGTGAGAGAGGGTTCATATCTAGAAGGAAAGAATTACAAGTAGAGGGACCAGCAAGTGCAAAGGCCCTGAGGTGAGACTATGCCTGGGATGC